GGCAAGCTCCACTACCGACTCGGCCCAGCCGTCGGCGGCGACGAAAATGAAGTCGTGTATCGCGTTGCGTCGCCGCAGCGCCTCCATCAGATCCGGTCCGTTCCTCGAGCTCCGGTAGCTGAGCACGATGACAACCTTCGCCTGTGGTCGCTCGAGCAACAAGCCGGCCATGCGGTCGAAATGCGAGGCCGTCATCGAGTAATTGACTCGCTCTTTGACGGCAAAANGTCTTGAACGTTACACTAAAATCGTTTTTATCCCAATCGTTATATAACGTCTATAAAGAACCCTAACAACTTTACGTTATACAAACCGTTAACAAAAATACGACTTAAATAACTAACTTTTGCATAACCGTTTATAGAAAACGTTACTGAAAAGTTATGAACGTTTTTTGTTAGCTGGGAACACACGCGCGCGTCGGCGTGGCGCGCAGTCGCCGCGAAAGTGCGGCGCTATAAAGATCACAGTGACAAAGTGGGAATTTAACGCAGTAATGACGTAACAATTACTTATATGTGATTATAATTGGTGGTTACTCTGCTCAACAGTTGATTAAAACATAATAAAACATTATTTAAGTTTAACTTTCGACCTTGCTGAATTCCACTGGAGCTTCGTGTGCTTCCAGTGAGAAATCCGAATTTAAACCGGATATGACGTCAGGAATGACATTCCGGTTGACTTTCCTACTGCTTTACAGTACAATCGCCGTGTTGAAAATGGTATACTGTTGTGCTGTAGGGTGTCGTAATGGGTCTGGGGCAGGAAAAGAAGCAAAGAGTTTTCACAGATTGCCAACAGAAAATAAAATAAAGGAGTCTGGCTTGCAAAAATCAGCAGAAAGGGCTGGGTGCCCACGAAACAGCCACCGAGGCTATGTGGGGACCATTTCGCACCAAGAGTGCTTTTTTGTGCCACACAATATAGCAGCTTGTGTTGGATGGCAAGGTCGAAGCAGCAAGCTAAAACCTGATGCCATACCCACAAAGTTTAGCCATAAAGCTTCAAGGGATGGTATTGGTAGTCAAAGGCAAAGCATTGCCTTTGCAAAAAGGAGAAATTTGGAGGTAAGTGACTATGTTAAAAGAATTTTAATTAGTTTACTACTTTACTTAGGCCCTAGAAGTAGAACTAGGTTTTAAGTTTAAAAAACGTGGTTAAAACATGAATCAAATGCGTCGTGGCTCTTCCAAAACAATAACAACGCAATTTTCTGAATGTAATCGACTATTAGCTATAGACATAAGCCCATATGGTCTCAAAATATATTGAGAAAATATACACCAATTAACTTCGGTGTTTAGGCGATCATGTACAGGATTTATTTTAATTTAACTATACTAATTAGGTAACTGTAAATTTTTGAAAGCGTAAATTAATTTCAAAATCTAAAAAAAAAACTAAAAAAATCATGTAGCAAATAGAAGTCATATACTACAGTACCATATTGTTAGCAATAACATATATCACAATAGGCATACATTTTTATGTGTAGGCAATAAGAGACGATGATGCCTGCACACATGATGTAGATCAACCCACTACAGACTTTCAAGATCAGCAGTCGGCGTCAGAAAACTCTGGTGTCAGTGGTGAGAACACACTCGGAGACCTGCCTACATGTAGTGCGAACATTGGTGACACATCGGATGACTTTCCTGCTGTGCACAGCAAAAGTGTGCAAGCATCACCACTTGTAAGTTAATTGCATTCAAATAATTGCATTTAATAGAATTAATAAAATTATTTCAGCAACGTCAATTTCATAGAAAGTGCATGAATGTGATATATGTTTTGTGGATAGAATACAAACATGGGTAACATTCTTTTTGTTTAAATTACACAAAAATATTTAAAAAAATGGTATATGAGGGGGGTACAGAGGGCAGTGTTACGGTGTGCATGGGAGGGAGTTGGTGTGTACATGGGGGGTGAGAGATGGTGTGTACATACACGGTAGGGAGGGGGAGGGCAGATGGGTAACCCCCATACGCACCCCCCACCGGTATATATGCCTATAAAGTTATACTCCCTTATATATTTATTTTCTGTAAATTTTATGTAAAAATTATTATAAGTGTTATAAAGATTTCCTCCTTTAGTATATTTTCTCTAAACGTTTACAGTTGGTTTATGTGATAAACTGTATCGTGTTCTAAAGATTTACTTATCTGTACAGGTGAAACCGGTTCACACACAGACAACATTCGTGATGAAGACTGCTCGGACGCAGACGCAGCCAAAACTATGCGATCGTGGTTGCCAAAGTAATGTAGAGACACGGAGCATCGGCACAAGCTGCTATCTACTCCGTAGCCCAGAGTCCGGCTCAGATACAGACAGTGACATGGAAATAGATGATGCTAAAGATCCTGAATGGACTCCACAGCCAGAACTCGATGTTCCAGCTGGAGGTTCCAGAGACAGAGCGCAGTCATTCCATTCGATGATGAAAGTGATGACAGCATGTGAGTATGCAGAATAAAATGTAAAATTCAAAGATTTTTGTAGCCTGCAGTTTGTCAGCTTCAAAATTTTCTGATATTTTTATCAATTAGGTTCACCTATCAATTTCCTTTTTTATTCAGGGAGGAAGATATGTCTAGCGTATCTACAGGTGATCTGCTTGAGCGAAAGTTCATAGTTTTTGAGTCTTGCCTGGCTGCTTTATTTCTGCTCGCACAGTGTGCTGCTCGCCCTGTCGTGTTTTGATCAAGAAGATCATGGGAAGCCTGCTAGTGGTGCAGCAGATATGTGAGAATGGACACTCCAGGATTTGGTCAAGTCAGCCAATGAATGAAAAGCTACCAGTGGGCAACCTGGCCTTAGCTGCTGGCATCCTATTCAGCAGAGCCAGCCCTGGGAAAGTGATCAATCTGTTAAGACATGTCAACTTGGTGGGAATCTCATTTCGGACATACACCTTGATACAAACAACATACCTGAATCCTTCAGTTGCTAGAGTATGGAAGATCAAACAAGCCTCATGAAGATCAACAATGCCACTTTAATAAATGATTGTGCTATCTGTTACCTGTTGCTACAATTACATGTACTCCTTAGCTATCTGTTACATGTTGCTAAACAAATGACAAGATTTTGAAAATTTCTAATTTGATGACATGACATAATTATGGGTTCTTGCTAATTTTCTGAACAGGGGGTAATTTTATGTGATTAGGAGGTAACCATAATTAGAAAGGTAAAAATGCTGTTTTACAAGGACTTATTCGCCCTAAACTTTAAAACTACATGGTTTATAGCCGGTAACAACTCTAATTACAGCAAGTAAAAATAACCGGTTACCGGCTTTTAACAAGAACCGTGCATAATTCCTAATTAGGCTAGTCCCTGTGTCAGTAAATTGGCATTATCCGGCTGTTGTACTAAACTACAACTGCAATCTAAGCCCTGGTCTTATTTAGCTAAATAATTAANCTTTGTATACAACTGCATCGTTGACTGTGTCGTGTTTCTCTGCGCATGTACGAATAAACATTAGACATCTAATAGAGTGTAACAAACTGTACTGTGAACATGAACATTTATTCACAAACAAAACAAGTAAGTATTAATATACATGTAGATGCACATAAAACATTTAAATATAACTTCTACGAAATGGACGGAGAACCATGCTCTGGAATTTCCAAATACATGTACCATATAGGGGTATGGCCGACATTTATCATTATTAATGTCGCAATTGATCATAGAATGTGTGATAATCTGCTGGGATGACCACTTTCAGTTGTTGTAAGTGATTAAACTTGGACTCCTTGATGGAAAGTTTCTCGTCGTACAATGCTGACAGGTCATTGTCAGATTCGCTGCGTTGCCGTCTTGGTTGAGGGATGTCTTTCCATTCATCAGCGTACGAGAGCTTGTATTGTAATCCCTCCGACGAGTATCTAATCGCCCTCAGATCTGTTACGGTAGGGTCTCCCGATCGCCTGCCTGGGCGGATCGAAAGCACATAGTTCAACGAACTGAAGTTCTTGAAGAAGCGATGCTCCACATATTTAACGGGTGTACGCCTGGGATGCGTCGAGCTCTCCATGGCATCGACATAATTTGCGGGACAGTAAATGTTCACGTTTTTCAGTTTTCTCTCAATTACAGAGTGAGCGCTGTCGACTTCCATCTGGGTATGGCCTTTCTCGAGTATTTTTTGCAAAACCAATTTCTTGTGTGTTTTAGCGAAGTGCAGAAGCATGTTGGACATTGTGCTGTTTCGATTTTGGTAAGTGCATCCATCACTGTACAAAATGAAGGTATCGTAGTTGAGGTTGGATAGCAGGTAATCATGGACGCATGACGCAAATTCGTTGGCTGTTAAGCCTCCCTCCCCCTCGTGCCAAACATAACAGATGACATCGTGTGTGGCCATGTTGTATACGGTGAAATTGTGTACGGCAAGCTTGGTTTTGTAATACAAAGCTGATGCTTTCATCTGAGGTGCAAGCAGAACAGCCTGTAAATCCATACAGACGACGAGTATTTTATCGCCGGAGTAGCCTTCTGTAGCGCACGTTTCTGCTAGTATTTTGTCGTTGCTCTTTTCCTGTCTTGCCGCATCTTTTTTTCTCAGGTGCTCATTCCACAGCTCATCCGTTACGTTACCGACTTCATGGGCGACGCAGGTGTCACATTGATCCTTACGAGGGTGAATATGCGATGTTCAGGTTGTCCACTTCTTGTTTCAGGATCTTTCTACCCAACGGAGCTCTGGTGTGTTCCTCGATGCAACCTTGTACATGCCGTACAGGTCGGACAAGCTCCTGATGTTTGGCTCAAGATACAGCTTCGTGGAAGAGGAACGACAGTAATGCGATGGTAATTTAGGAAGTTTTTCCAAGAATTCTGCCCTCATAAATTGTCGGTCATCTCCCGATCTCTGGTAGTATGCTGATTGGCGGGTTTCAGCATGATGTGGCGCTGCAGCCCAACTTTTCACTGACCATTCTCCGATGGCTACCGTGGACAAGAACATTCGCTTGCATATAGGCTTCCTTACGCCGTTTTGCTTCAGATGGTACATAAGGGTTACATTTCTTCTCGAAGTAGAATTGGCTCCGCGTCTTCTGCGTACTTCTACCGTATCCACCATGCTGTGCACATATATCCTCCTTTGTTCCCACGACATGTTTTGCCAGAAGTCGGTGAATATTTCCACTCGATCATCTTCCCCGAAACTGTGACATTGTCGAGAATCTGAAGGTTTGCAATTACAGCGTGGTTTCATTTGTCTTCCTCTCTTCAGTACTTTATGAACTGTGTTATCCTTCTTTTCGTTCCCTTCATACTGTTCTCCTTTCTGGCGCTTAAGCTGTTGGTTATTTTGATGCCACACATCAGGATCAGATTGCTTTCTTTGCCTTTTTACGCCTGGCCATGGGGTTCAACATCATCGTTGTTGTTGTTACTGTTGTCGTCGTCGTCGTCATAACCAGCATCAGATTCTACTAGTGGAGCGGATTCGATTGAGGATACAATCGATGCATCAGAAGGCTCATAATCAGGATCTGTAACGTTTCCCGTGTCATCAATTGGGACAGCTGGTTCCTGGGGATCGCTGTTGATATGATCTGGGGTTTGAGGCTGTGGGAACTACTTCTACATCACTTCGTTCACCAGTAGGGACTAAGGTAAGATCTTGATCATCTTCGGTTGTGCGGATGGTGACGAAGCCAGCTATATCGATATTGTCCATAGGGTCATCTATGTGCTCGACAATGACAGGTACCGGGATAGCATAATTATCAAACAACGACTTGGACCTCATGAACGACGCTAGATGGCAAGTTGTTGACAGAATCCGCTTGCACGGCGTCCTCTCGCACATGTGTAGAAGGGACACAAGACATGTCTGGTCCAACTGAAAACAGACAATTTACTGAAATAAATTTTCGGATTTGTTTGCACCTCGTATCTCCATAATAATACCTATAAAAACCTCGTATCTCCATAATAATACCTATAAAAACCTCGTATGTCCATCATTTGAGAGTCTAAACTAATTTGATGCAAAATATAGACTGCTATACATTAAATTACCTGCCTTCGATTATTAATTTATGTGCAATACCCATTGGTCATGAAAAGTATCGTTGTTAAACAGTTTTAATGCTCTCCTGTAAATTTATCAAAATGGCACTTACGAGGTTTTATCAGAACGCCGACGATACACGTGTTTAAAAAATTGGTTGGTCAAGTCTGTCAAGAAATGACGTACGCAAGACGCTCCCATATTTCCTGCCACGATCGCCCAATCCCTATTGGCTATCCACGATCACGTAATAGCTGTTATCTGAGGAATTCCGAGTGACCTATTTGAGTCGAATGAGATGTAAACACGGCGTACTGTTATCACAATCGCTGTCTGTCAAGTTAGCTAACGTACGAATTTTATGACGTACGCTAGTCTAAATCGTCCACAGCGGATTCCAATCAAGGATAAAGGTGTCGGCAATCGATTGAGCCAAATTAGTAAGTAATTGAAGGTATTTGGCCGAAATATGGCCATTTGAACCGGCGTCGTTTTCATGGGCCGTTTTGGAATGTCAGATTTTTGACGGATTTCCAAGTCGTACGTCAGTTTTTGACGGACATTTCTTCCGTACGTCATGTATTTGACGGACATAATCATCTGTTTCACTTCATATGGTATAATCCCCATATTTATGGCGGTAATTGTACCAAATTGTAGCGTATAGATTGTCATAACCGTCTTCATAGGTCTACACTAAAAAACTGCACCAGGAGTATTGAATGGGCCCAAATCGGCCCCCTATCCGACGTACGTTATTGTTGACGGATATTTCTTCCGTACGTCATGTATTTGACGGACATAATCATCTGTTTCACTTCATATGGTACAATTCCCATATTTATGCGTGCTTGCGTGTGCCTGCGTGCGTGCCTGTGCGCGTGCGTGCGTGTGTGCCTGTGTGTGTGTGTGCGTGCGTGTGTGCGTGCGTGCGTTCGTGTGTGTGTGTGTGTGTGCGTGCGTGCGTCTGTGTGCGGGTGTGCCTACGTAGATCCGTAGGACCAACTTCATATAGGACTATAGAACGGTAATCCATGGAAAATCGTAATGAAATTCACACGTTTATTTTTGCGTGCCGGCACACGCGTGTTATTCCCGATTGTAGCTTTTTCCTCAATTCCAGGAAAGAGTTTTGCTGTCGCTCTCTCATAGTCCAGCAATGCCCACCCTCTAAATTTTAGTAGTGATTAGTACCACGCTGAAACAATTGTGCCCCCCCCCCGTACTTCAATCAATGCAGCCCGTGCCAGCAGCCAGCGTCGATGTGCATAGCTATACAGGCGTGCCTCGCGGGCCGATTTCTCAAACCACCTGAGCAGCATCCAGGGCCCTTACGCGGGCCCTGGACTTGTGGAACTTCACATTGTACTATAAACAATCGATCCTCGCGCATCCTTGATCATCACTCAAGGATTTCACTCCACTCTCACACGAGGATTTCAGTACCGAGGATTCACAAGGTAAAAATATTCAAGACTAGTAT